GAGCTCAAGGTCAGCCTGAACTGCATAGTGAGACCTTGTCTCAAAAAGACAAAAAAATTAAAAATAAAAATAAATAAATAAATGAAGGGATTAGTTTTCATCTTGTTTATTCCTTTAATGACACGTTAAAAAATGATTTTTACTTTAACCTCCCATCTGGTTGGCAGGACAGTAGGGATATTGTATAGGGACTCCTGGGGCTGCAGTAGGAACTGGCTGTTCCCCTGGTGGTTTATCTTTTGGCCTTTTAAAAGTAACGATATGATACTCATCTCCAAATGTGATAGCAGCCTGTAATGTTGATTGTTTCTCACTAGAAGTCAACATTTGATCTGAGAGCAACATTCTATTTTTCCAGTACAGTTCATAGGTCTGAGTGAGTCTCCTAAAGACCTCAACTGTCTGGAAACTGTTTCTGATCTTGCTGGATCTATGTGAGGTTGCTGAGCACAAAGGACACGTGGAACAGGGTAGGGCTGAATTCCCTGTTCACCTCTTACAAGGATATTGTCCCTGAGGAGCTTTCACAGAACCAGGTAGAGGTGGATGTAGCCCCGTAGATGCTTCAGTTAGGGTTGGCTCAGACGTGTCATCCGTAGGGCATGGAGGGCAAGGGAGGGGAACTTCAAGCTCAGCAAAGGAAGATGTGTCTGAGTGTGCCGTAAGGACCAGGGGCGTCTGGCTTTCCAATGGCTTACATCTGCACTTTGAACACAAGGTAGGATTGTCTCGTCCTGCAAAGAAAGTCTAAACGTAAGGTACCTTTGACCATTTCCCTGTCTCTTATGGTATAAATCTAGATGTAAAATAGTGATTAATCAGTACTTTTCTCTACATTCCACTTTGCCTCCAGGGGATAAACAGACTACGCATGAATGCAGAAAAATTTTAAATAACTCTTCCTTAGAGTGTGAGGGCTGAACAAATTCCAGTGCTTAAGAATATACCTGAAAGCTGGGTGTGGTGGCACATGGCTGTAATCCCAGAAAAATTCTTGTGACTATAGTGAGAGTCTTTTTGAGACAGGATCTTGCTATGCAGTTCAGGCTGACCTTGAGCTCACTTTGTAGCCCAGGCTGGTCTCAAACTCAAAATGATCTTCCTGCCTCAGCCTCCAGAGTGCTGGGATTACAGGCATGTGCCACCATGCCCAGTTGTAATTTGTTTTTATTTTAAAAACTTTTAAAGTTGGGGGTGGTACTTAGTGAGTTCAAGGCCAGCCTGAACTATACAGTGATACCCTGCCTCAAACAAAACAACTCCCCCCAAAACCCAAAACTTAGATGTTAAATGTTAGTTATTATTACAGCTTTTGTCTTTTTGTGAAATCAGTATCAGAAGACTTGCACTCTTTAATGTGTTCTTTATAAAGATGTGTAAATTCTTCAAGGCTATTTAGAGTATTACTGCATGCAGGTAACCATAGCTTCGATTCTGCCTCAGTAGATTTTTACTAAAGCAAATTCTTTCATTAACATTTTTTTCTTCTGCTTTTTAAAATGCCCTTTGATATTTCAAAAAAGGAACTCTGTAACTTGACTGATTTTAAGATCAGCTGTAAGTAATCAGCAATCTTGAAAAGCACTTTGAAGAGACAGGTTCCCTCTGGGTCCTACCAGAGTCTGTGCTATTTGTTCTAGACTCAGAACCGAACCAAGGTACCGACCGACAAACACCGGAGCACTCGGATCGCCAATTGAGATTTTAGAATGAGCCTTTATTAGCTGGCCAGCGACTGCCTGAGAGCCTCCACGCAGGGTAGGATCAGGTCAGCAGCAAACCAGGTGTGAGAGCAGCTTTTAAGCCAAAAAACCACATCCTGCTTGGCAAGCGAAGTCTTTGTGAAGCAGTCTTCCCAGAAACTACAGAAACTTTAGGAAACTTACAAGAAGGGAACGATACGTCTCAGGGAGTTTTGAGGAGTGGCTACAATGCGGAACGAAGCAGGTGGGAGAATAGGGTAATCAATAATCTTTTTTTCTCATGTTCTTTGTGAGGCCATGCTTGTCCCTTGTGAGGCCTTTACACTATTGATGTTTGTCAGCGCGATGCTCAAGCTTCCCAACATCTTTGTGACCCCACTTAGCACAATCTACACCGATGAAATCGTTCTTCCTGGTTGAGTTTCAGAAAGAGATGCACTGCACATTGACCCTTAGAGGTCATTTAAATAACATTGTAATGTAAAAGACTGGTACAATTTTAAAACAATACAGATTTCAACCTGTAAATGTGTGTGCCTTTTAAAGAAGGACACATTTTAAAAATATATTTGGGCATTTGCAGGGGAGTATGAGAAAACTATTATGTATTATATCAAACAAAATGTTTATTACAAAAATGTTCTTTAATCTATACTGCAGAACAGTGTAAAACAGTGTTATGTAGAATAGAGTTGATTTGGATGAAAGCTGTTTCTGGTTTGTTGGTAGGGAACAGTAACAAAATGATTTTTTTCAGAAAATATTTAGTTTTCTTCATAAAAGTAAGTCACATATTTTAAAAAATATTTTTAAAAAGTAAGTCACATTTTTAAAAAATATGTATATCTAATAGTACACATTGTTTTTTTTTGTCTTCTTTGAGACAGGGTCTCGCTATGCAGTTCAGGCTGGCCTTGAACTCACTTTGTAGCCCAGGCTGGCCTCGAACTCGCAATGATCCTCCTGCCTCAGCCTCCTGAGTGCTGGGATTACAGGCGTGTGCCACTATGTCTGGCTTAATAGTACAAAATGCAATAAGCATTGAAGTGTATTGAAAACTGAATTTGACAACATTAATGAATAAATTAACAATGATTAAAAAAAGAAAAAAATTTCATTGATATTTTCAACCACTAATAATAAATGGTGCTTTATTTTTAAAAAGGTGTGTAAATAGCAGACACTGGCCCGGGAGCTCAGGTCATTTCCTTTCTGCAGGGAGGGGCCAGGCCCTGGCTGGAGGGGGACGATGCAGCTGTCCTGGGTCTCCTTGTCCCTCCTCCTCTCCGTGCACCGCTGCACACAGCTGGGGAGTGGGCGCACACGGGCCCTCCGCCTCCTTGTGCTGGCTCTGTGGACAGCCTCTCCCTTCTTACTACATGAGGCCTCCCAAGGACGCAGCCAGCACATGAGCCTGACCTGTGCTTCCCGACCTGACCAGCTGGAAACAGTCCTGAGACCAGTGTCAGGGCCTGTCACACGCAGACAACAGTGCTAATGCTGAGCTACATCCCGGCCCTTTTTTATTTTATTTTGAGATAGGGTCTTGCTAGGTTGCTGTGGCTGGAACTTACAACCATCCTGCCTCAGACTCCCAAGTTGCTGGAGTTACAGGCATGTGCCACCATACCTGGTTTCTGAAAAGCCAGACTTCTATAGACACAGTGAGTGCACCTGCAGGTTCTGTGTGTGTGTGTGTGTGTGTGTGTGTGTGTGAGAGAGAGAGAGACACATGCATGTGCTTCTTATGCCTAGGTCTCAGGTGTTGTCACTGCTGGCTGGGGTGGCAAAGCTGGAGCCTGGGGCCAGCTGCTGTCACAGGGGAAAGTAATTCAGGATGAAATAAAAATGATTTTGAGGCTGGCATGGTGGTGCACACCCAGTACTCAGGAGGCTGAGGCAGGAAGATTTCAAGTTTGAGGTTAGCCAGGGGTATATAGTGAGTTCAAGGCCAGCCTGGACTACACAGCAAGATCCTGTCTCCATACAAACTCCAGGAAAAAAAAAAAAAACTGATTTTGAACGAAGCAACCAGATAATAAAACTGAAAAAGTATTTTATTTTTCCTAAATTACCTGAGCACTTTGTCAAATTTTTCTTCATTTTGGGCAGTGGCCACCTCATCAGCAGTGAGTAGCTAAAGCAGGGCTGACACCCACGAGGATTAAGCCGGTTTTACTCCGTGACAAACAAGTGGACAGTCAGCACGGCCACGTGCGCTTGGATGTTTGGCCAGGGCGCAGGCGACGGCTGCCGCCTGGCACTCCTGGGAGGGCGCTGAGTGCAGCCACGCCCGTTCCCTGGCCTATGCCGTGCCCTCCACAGGCAGCGCTGAAGGGTCCTGGCAGACTGCGCAGCCCAGACTCTAAAGTACCTTCTTGCCGTACTTTCCCAAAATCATCTGTTGGCCCCTGCTCTTGGCTAAAAGCACTGAGACAACTATGCGAAAAGCACCACGGTATAAAATATTTCTAAAGAAAGGAAGGGAGGGAGGAAGGGAAAAGGCCAATGTGGTGCCGCAGGCCTGTAACCTCAGTGCTTGGGAGGCTGAGGCAGGAGGAGCACTGTGAATCTGAGGCCAGCCTGGGCTCCATAGTGAGTTCAAGGCCAGTCTGAACTATGTAGTGAGACTGTGTTTCATAAAAAACAAAACAAATTAGAGAATAAAATATTTTTTATTTTTGAATATTTCTAATATTTCTACCCATACAAATTTATACCGGGTCTCTCGCGGGGTTCCTGGCTTTCGTTTTCTGTCAGAAATCCTCCCTGACTCCTCTCAGTATCGCTGAGCCATGCTCAGAGGTGTGTTCCTGAAGTACGAAAGTTCATGTATACTTATCACAGGCGCTGTACGGCAGATGTTACTTGGTGACGGAAATCCCACAGTCTTCTGGTGCTGGCGACCGCACCCCGGGCCTGGCGCATGGTAGGCAAGCGTTCTTACCGCTGATCTACATCTGAGTCCGAAGCACTCTTTCTATAAATGTCTTTTTGTCGATCCTTGATAAGGATCTTCAGCAAAACAAGGCACCTCTATTTTATGGCTGTTGTTCAGAGAATACACTCAGGGACTCAGAGAAGCACTCACATTCATTCTGGCTACTCCCAGCCTGCAAAGGAGGCCAGCCGGACTCAGCCAGGCCCGGCGCTGCGGTTACGTGTCCTCTCACTGTGATCAGAAGCGGAGCGCTGACAATGTGTGAGACTCGTCCCCGTGCTTACGCTGCCGGGGTCACCAGGAGGGGCAGGGATGGTGGCCTGGGCTCTGGAACGCCCGCCACGCCGTGCGTTGTGATGCCGGGCTCTGTGGCCCTCCTCCTGCTCCACCCGCTGATTTCTAAAGGGTCTGCCAGAGGGTGCGCAGGGGACACGGAGGCCGGGAGGAGGAGGCGGGCTCATCCCTGGCGGACACTGCGCCGGGGTGCGGGGTCCTTTCCCCTGCGACAGCAGCTGGCCCCCGGCTCCAGCTTTGCCACCCCAGCCAGTACAGTGACAACACGTGAGACCTAGGCATAAGAAGCACACGCATGTGTGACACACACACACACAACTTGCAAACGCACTCACTTTCTGTCCCTCTGCGCAGTTTTCCTCATGTCTGAACCTCTCACTGGGGCGACCCCTTCAGGACCCTTCCTGCCTCCCAGGAGCTGTTCCTATCCCCCTCCCATTTCTCCAGTAAATTCCTCTACTCAAAAAAAAACATCTCTCATAGATACTACTGTGGACAACCAAGGGCAGAGAGATTTAAGAAATGAACAAGGAAATCTTCTATATTTTTGATACAACAGCGAGAGACCTGCCCACCCATAAAACATGAATGGCGGTCTCACAAGCACTGTTCGCTCACCTTACAGTCTCACACATTGTCAGCGCTCCGCTTCTGATCACAGTGAGAAACGGGCACGCACATTTTTAAAGTTCAAGAGAAGTGGTATTGCCTTAGTTTTCACTTTTTAAAGAGGTGTGTCTTACTGTATAAATTAAAATTATTCATTGTATAAAAGTGGGGCCATAATGACATTTTTAACCAGCATATAAACAACCATTGGTAAGTGGATAACATAGTAAATATTTTTTCCACAGGATAGTTAGGTCAGTCAAGTTGGTGATGCCTACCCATTACCCAAGATAGGCAATTATTATGTTTGGTTTTTTTTGTTTGTTTTTTCTTCCGGTACCAGGAATTGAACTCACGACCTTGTGCTTGCCCGACAGGAGCTGTGCCGCTGAGCTAAATCCCCTGGACAGGCAATTACTAATGAAATTACAATTAAAAAAGAACAACCCTCTCATACAGTTGATTAGCTACCCGAATCTATTCAAAATCAGTGAATATGGTCACTGGAAGGAAGGAAGGACGCCTCCTAAAGAAGAAGAAATTGCCAATAAATACTATTCTCAAATACTGTATGTTACTGTTAGAGGACTTTGTATACGTGTTTCTCTCAGAATAAGCGTGTCTTCATTTGTTAAACTGCTGAAAATTTAATTCTTTTAATAAAAAGGATACTTACGTAGGACTTTTTTTTTTCACATTGATGATGCATGCGTTAGTAATGCCATTGGCTGGGCGGTTTAAAGGACAATCAGTTCTATCCATGACCTGGAGTCCAAGCTCGTGGGGTCCCTGGGGTGGTTTCTCCTGAGGCCCTGTCCTGGGCTTGTAGGTGGTCATCTTCTGTTTTCACAGGTCTTCCCGATCTCTCTCTCAGTACTGGAGACTGAGCCCAGGGCCACGCACTGAGCAACATCCTTAGAGCACCTTTTATTTTGTGAGACAAGGTCTTACTTGCTAAATTACTGAATTGCCCAGGCTGAACTCGAACTTGCACTCCTGCCTCAGCCTCCGAGAGGGCTGGGACGACCACGCCCTGCTGGCCCCTGGGTTTTTAACACCTTCCTACGGGATGGCTTCCGCAGTCACTGTCTTCAGCCCCTGAGTGCTCAAGGTCACCTCCCAGCTGCCTTCTCAACTCGTCCACTTAGACATAACAAACACCTTCCCGTGTTCTCCATCACAGACGCGCCACCAGCATCCGGCCAGCTGTTGAGGACAAACATCACCGGAAGCACCCTTGGGCCTTCCCTTCCCCCCAGGTGGCCGCGTATCCACAACAAATCCTGACCCTGACCCTGACCCTTCCCACCAGCCCCCTGTACACACTAATCCAGATCACCTTCATTCTTGTGCGGATCGCTGCAAAAGCCACCTCATTTGTCTCCCCTCCGTTTATTATTAATTATTATTAATATTATCGAGGCGGGGTCTCACTAATGTAGTTTAGGCAACCTTGAACTCACTCTGTAGCCCAGGCTGGCCTGGAACTCATGGTGATCCTCCTGCCTCAGCCCCCCCAGTGCTGGTATTACGGGAGTGTGCCACCAAGCCGGCCTTCCCTCTGTTCGAACCTTCACCGCGTCTATTAAAGGCACATCGGGGATATTCCTTTGCTGAAAACCCCCACTGGCGCCTGGCTTGAGAGCGCACGCCCGCAGTCCCAGCTACTCAGGGGGCTGAGGCAGGAGGGCAGCGAGCTTGAGACGAGCCTGGGCAACTGGGTGAGCTGTGGACTCCCAAGTTTTAGAAGGGCTCAGGGTGTGGCCCCGTGGTACAGCACTCGCCTAGCACGCTGAGGTCCTGGGTTCGACCCCGCCCCGGCTTCCCACTGCAGCCGCAGCAGGGAAGCCCCTCGCCACGCCCAGCCCCTTGGCCCCCGGGTCCGGTCCCCAAGTTCCTCGCGCCTCTTTCTCCTCAGCCGTCAGCCCCAGCGCCCTTCGCGACCCCGCCGCTCCCGGAAACCGTAGCTCCCGGGGATCAGGAGCCGCCCCGGGGTCCCCGCGGCCCGCTCCCTCCTCCCGGGAGCCCCGGGAGCGCAGGCGCACGCGTGGGCCTCAGCGGCGCAGGGCCCGGGAGACGCAGCCGGGTCGGGGCTCCCCACGCCGGCCCACCTCCGGCCCCTCCCTCCCGGGTCCTCCCCGCGTCCGCGCTCCCCCGCCCTCGGACACGCCCCCGTCGCCCCGCCCACCAAGCAAGGTCCCGCCCACCGAGGCCAGGCCCCGCCCCCGGCTCGGAGTGGTTCTCCCCGCGTCCACACTCCCCCGCCCTCGGACACGCCCCCGTCGCCCCGCCCACCAAGCAAGGCTCCGCCCACCGAGCCCAGGCCCCGCCCCTGGCTCTGAGTGGTTCTCCCCGCGTCCACGCTCCCGTGCCCTCGGACCCGCGCTTATGCTTTGCCACGCCCAGGTCCTTATCAAGCCAGGCCCCGCCCACCAAACCAGGCCCCGCCCACCCGGCCCCGCCCCAGTCCAGGCCCCGCCCCCGCGGTCCTCTTAACCCCCCGCGGCTCCCGGTGGCGGCGAAGGTGGCCCGGCGGCGCAGGGACGATGGCGCTGGCGGTGCTGTGCTGCGTGCTGCTGCTCCTGGCGGGAAACTTCGCAGGTGAGGCTCGCAGGGGGCCCAGGTGGCGGGGACCGCGAAGATGCGACGGGCTCCTCGGCGCCGCGCCGGTCCCTTAGCCCCGGGCGACCACGGCGATGGTCCCCGCGCGCCCGTTACCGGCGGTTCCCGGCCCGGCCCGCAGCGGGGCTGGGCGCCCCTGGGCTCCCTTTCTGCCCCTCCTAGGCGACCCGGCCGCTCCTCTCGGGAAGCAGATTTCTGGTGCCCTGGAGCAGGAGTTGGGTGTTTTTACCAGGGACCCTGGGAAGATGCGCTGGAATTGGGAATGCGTGTAACGGAGCGGCGTTCCTCCAGCCAGATTTCGCCGAGTTGAAGGCGGAGTTTAAACGCTAACACCTGCTGGGCGTGGGGGCGCACACCTGTCATCCCAGCATGGGAGGCTGAGGCGGGAAGATGGCTGAGTTTGAGGCCAGCCTGGGCTACATAGTGAGTTCGAGGCTGGCCTGAACTGCAGAGCGAGACCTGTCTCCCCCGCCGTCCCCCCAAGCTAACCCTTAGAGTGTTTTGTATTTATTACCCTGAGTCACAGAGGCAGTCTCATATTGCTTCCCTATATTTGTAATTTAGCTTCCGAGTCGTTTTTCAACTAAATCTCAAAGGAGCAGAACCAAATGTTCTTTCTTTTAACGTGCCGGTGGGGGGAACTCTTACAGGGGGGCATGGGGAAAGGTTGAGTTGAGAAACCAGGCATCAGCCAGGTGTGGTGGTGCACACCTGTAATCCCCTCTCTCAGGAGGCTGAGGCAGGAGGATCGCAGTGAGTTTCAGGTCTGTCTGGGCTACAAAGTGAGTTCAAAACCAGCCTGAACTACGCAGTGAGAACTGTCTCAAAAAAACAACAAACAAACAAAAACCCAAAACAATGACAACCCCCCCAAAAAAATAAGAAAGGGAGAAGGTGTACACAAATCACACGTTTTTAAAAAACCCTTATGATTTTGTATGTATGTATATACAGGATAGATAACATGGTTGTTCTTCTATCTGCTGTTTCTATGCTGAAAGAAACTGTCAATGAGTCTTTGGTTGACCAGTATTGCATGTCTATATCTGTTTTCATGAGAAGCCACTTTGAAGATATCAATATGTAATACAACCACCATTGTTAATTCCCTACCACTTTGTTTGGAACTCTGTATTGTCTGTATTGTGCTTGTGATATGTTGTAAAATGTTGTATGTCTGTTAATGTTTCCCTCCTTTTATCCTTAAAATAAAAAAAAATAAAAAAAATAAAAAAAAAAACCCTTATGAGCAAAATTCCTGTTTAATTCTATAAGTAAAATGTCTGTTTTCTTCTTGCAGCCTCTGTGGAGAGAGAGCACAGCGGGCCTAGAAGCGTAAGTGCCTGCGCCGTGGTGTGTGGGTGCTGGCTGGGTTAGGACCTGCCCCGACCTTCGGAACAATGTGCTTTAGAGCAGCCCTGGGCAGGCCTTCTTGTACAGATAGAAGTGCAAAGTGTAGTTCAGAGTCGCTCAGTCTCCATCTCACAATGGTCGCTTTAATATTTCCTTCAATGACTGGAGAGTTCTTTGCCTGATAGTCCTGTTTTGTACTAGACATCGGGAGCGTTTTATCACGTTGGGTTCCAGGGCTCTCAGTGCAGACCCGAGAGAGCCGGGGCTCTTTGTCCAGAGTTGCTGCAGCAGCAGTCTCACTGCCTGCCGTTTGGGGGAGGCTGCAGGGCAGGGCAGAGCAGGGCAGAGCAGGAGGGCTCCGGTGGGCTTGGTGCAGGCTGATGGCTCAGAGGGGCTACAGGTGGCTGTCCGTGAAGCGGACACCCTACAGAACTGAGCAAAGATGTGTACTTGGGTAGGTCCCAAGTTAGAATCAAGGACAAAAGTTAGGGATGCTCTCAGTTTTGTTTTGTTTTGGTTTTTTTTGAGACAGGGTCTCCCTACGTAGCTCAGGCTGGCCTCGAACTCCCAGTGATCCTCCTGTCTCAGCCTCCCGAGTGCTGGGATTCCAGGTGTGCACCACCATGCCCGGCTACACTGTCAGTTATTAATCAAGTCTGGTGGGGCTGATTGTTAAAGGGGTTATTGTTCCAGGCTCCTGGATGTCACTAGGTAGCAGTCTGGCTTCCTACAGATCACAGTTGTTAACAGCAACTCCCTGGACTACTGTCCACTTAAGCATCTTGCAAGAGATGACCTTCTCCTTTCTGTAACCGAGTTCCACATCACCTCGCCCACTCTGGGCTGGAGACTGTCCTCGCGGACGAGTAGCCGGTCATGTCTCCCCCAGGAGTCCCTTCCCTGTGCTTTGTCCCACAGTTCTGGGATGGATGCCAGGCAAGTGCTGCCCCTGCTGAGGCGGAGCCGCCTGCAGAGCTGGGTCCTGGCTGACACTCGGGCGTAAAGCTGTAGGCTCCAGTCCCCTCCTAATCACAGAGGGAAGGACCCTGAGCATGGAAAAGCAGAACAGGAGGCAGATGAGCAGGAAGAGGGGATCCAAGTGGTTCCCCAATTTACCTATTTGTTCTTTCAAAGAGATTTTAGGCTGGGGATATAGCTCAGTGGCATAAGCGCCTTCCTGGCAAGTGCAAGGTCGTGAGTTCAACCCCCGGTACTACAAAAAAAAATTCCTTCTCAGGGCTCAGGAAGCCTCAGTTTCTCCCAGATGTGGCTGGACTCGGGGCCTGAGGATGGCAGACTGAACTCTCCTCGGGGCTGGGGATAGCTCAGTGACATAAGTGCCTGCCTAGCAAGCACAAGGTCGTGAATTCGATCCCCGGTACTGCAAAAAAAAAAGAGATTTCAACATTTATGATAATTTTTTCATTTATGTTATTAGCCTCTTTTAGTTCACTGAGAAGAAAGTTGTGTGCTGTTGTTTCTTTGTTGTAGGACAGAGTCCTTTTTATCTGTTTTTTGTACTCTGAGGAACATTTTGGCCATTCTTTTAAGACTGTGATACACAATGTATTAATTATTGCTATTCTCTAATTGTTCAGCTATGAAATTTTGTTTTATTTTTTCATAGAAGTAAGAAGAGTGATTTCTATATTTTATTTATTAATATCTACTTGAATTACCTTGTATTACACTAAATTTTCTTAAAAACATAAACATGAGTTGAAAGAAGGCCATTTTTTTTGGTGGTACCCAGGCCTGCTTTACCACTGAGCAGCATCTTCAGCCCTGTCTGTCTGTCTGTCTGTCTATCCATCTATCCGTCCATCCAGTCATCCATGGATCTTTCTAAGTTGCCTAGGCTGGCCTAGAGCTTGCAGTCCTCTTGCTTCAGCTCTGAAGCAGCTGGAACTACAGGTATGTGCCACCTACCCAACTAAAGTCACCATTTATATGAGAACTGTCTCATAGTTTAGAAAAACTTGCTAGAAGACAAATTGCTGTAAAACGGCTGCTGAATTATGTGGAGATGAAACAACTGTAAATAATTGGGGAAAGATTTTTAAAAACTAAGTTATTTTGCAAACAATTTAGTTAAAAACTAAGTTGTTTTAAGTTTTCACTGTGTTTAGAGCCCTGGGTGTCGTCTAGGGGAAACTTTACTCCTGGCACACCCAGGAGCGTGGGCTTTGATCATCCTGAGGATTTATCACCTGTACCTATGGGTAGAGCACAGGGAATCTGCTAAGGGTCTTAGAGTGCATAGCACAGCAAAGGATTATGTGGTCCGGAATGTGATGGTGTAACCGCTGGGAGACTGCTTTAAAGACACCGGAAGTAGAGCTCCCAGGTGGTATGCTATGGATGTGGGTTTGCAGTGAGAGAACACAGAACTCTGATTAGTTGAGATATGTAAAGAAAGGTCTCACCCTTTGTATTACTTGGATCCAGTCAGTCACAGTGATTCAAAGTACCAGCGCCCAGCTCTGCTCTCCCAGGCTGTCTCCTTTGTCTCCTACCCGAAAGATGAAGGTTAGGGCCCTGCCCCCAGCAGCAGCACAGAAGGACTCAGGGAGGCCTCCTTCACTTCCAAGCCTGGCCCATGGCCCGTGTGGCTTTGTCTTTATAAATCCAAGTGACAGCAATAGAAAGTGTGTTCCATTTATTTACTGCCGAGATGGGGTGACTTCTTTTACTCCAAGACAAGGCAAGGAAAGGAGGTCACCATTTACTTAAAAAGGAAGAGGCAGACACAGTGGCATATGTCTATAATACAAGATACTCAGGAGGCTGAGGCAGGAGTTTAATTAAGGCCAGCCTGGGCTACATGGCAGATCTTGTTTAAAAAAAAAATCAAGCAGAACCAGCTATATATTTAGCCTCTTGTAAACTGGAGCTCTGTTCATCCGTCCGATCACTGTGCCTGGTCCTGGCCCTGCTGATGAGCCACACTTACTGCCTCTCTGGCGGAGGAATGGGTTCCAGGACCTCAAGTCAGGGCTGCAAAGTACCACAAACTAGGTGGCCTACGCAGCAGAAAGCAGTCCTCTCACAGTCTGGCTGCTTGAAATTCACACCAAATGTCAGCAGCATTGGTGCCTCCTGAGGGCTGAGAGGAAAGCCTCTTCCAGGCCAAGGGCCTAGCGTCCGGTGGCCGACTATCTGATCCCCTGCCCTCGTCTCTACCTGGACTTCTGGGCTGTAGTCAAGTGGGAATTATGAAGCCAGGGGCTATGAAAGTAGGGATGGTGGCATGCTTTGGATTTTTTTTTTTTTGTCTTTTTGAGACAGGGTCTCGCTCTGTAGTTCAGGCTGGCCTTGAGCTCATTTTGTAGCCCAGGCTGGCCTCAAACTTTCAACGATCCTCCTGCCTCAGCCTCCAGAGTGCTGGGATTACAGGCATGTGCCACCACATCCGGATCTTGGATTTTCATTTAAGAATCAGATTAAAATTCTTGAGGTCTTTTATTTTCTTTTTGTGGTACTGGGAGTTGAATTCAGGGAGTGTTGGGCAACATCTCCCAGCCCTTTTAAAATTTTATATGAGACAGTGCCTCATTGAATTGCTCAGGCTGGCCTCATACTTGTGATTCTCCTGCCTCAGCCTCCTGAGTAGTCAGGATTATAGGCATTGGCTACCATGAATGGCCCCCCCCCTTTTTTTTTTCCGGAGCTGGGGATTGAGCCCAGACCCTCATGCACGCTAAGCATGGCATGCCCTTTACCACTCAGCTACATCTCCAGCCTCTGAAGTCCTTTTCTTTTTTAATGTAGAATGTTTTAAACTACTGAACCAACATCAAATGTAATTAGTACATTTGAAAAATCCTGTTTTTGTGTGTGGAAATAGCCGTAGTTGTGTGGGATCTTTCCAAGAGCTTGAAGAAGACTTGGACATTGTTCCCCGCTTAGCTGCTTTATAACAAGTGTTCTCATCCAGGCCTGGTGACACACACCTGTAACCCCAGCACTCAGGAGGCTGAGGCAGGTGGATTGCTGAGTGTTCAAGGCCAACCTGGACTACAAAGTGAGACCCTGCCTCAAAAAGCGAAACAAAACAAAAACAAAAACAAAAAACCAAACCACAAAACAAACGATTTGTGTCTCAAATCGTCCTCTAATTTCTCTCCCTGTCTTTTTCCAGGCAAACTGTGCTCTGTACCACTTACCAGGGTGTGCCAAAAACCTGGACCCCGTGTGTGGGAGCGACCTGCTCACCTATCCCAACGAGTGTTACCTGTGCACGAAGATCTGGTAACCCGGCGGTGGCTCGCCAGCCGCGCTTTTCTTTCTTGTCTTGACCTTGGCTTTCTTGGTGATCATGAGTCTTTCCCTGAGTGTAAAAATCAAAAGTCACCTACGTCTTCACCCCAGCGTGCGAGAAGGTCTGAAAAGTGCATTTAATAGTTAACCCCGTGGAATGTTACGTTGTCTTTTAAATTTAGAGGATATGTGCAGGGGGCCTGGCATCCTCTGTGCCACCAGTCGGGAAGCAGTAAGTGTGTGATGCCCGCTGCCCCGCATGTCACGCACCCAGCGTGTGACACTGCCCCCGGGTCCATCCTTGAGCTCAGTCTTCTTCCCGGAGCCTCTGCCTCTCCGTGCGTCTCAGGCTGTGAGCCCGGGCCCCAGGCTCGGGGGCAGATGGCAGCGCGGGAAGGCGAGGACTTCCGCCTCCAGAGTGCAGATGTAGCTGACACCTTGATTACAGAAAGGCAGCCCTGGCAGGAGTCTGGTCTATAGTGACACGGGCCTTTTAAGTGCGAATAGCGGGCCGGATCCGGTGCAGCAGGAAGTGATACTGTGTCCATGTGGTTCCATCTGCAGGAAGGAGGGGCGCGATATTAAAGTCATCCGAGAGGAGCCATGCTGAAGGCAGCCGAGATGCCGGGGACGCCGCCCTCCCCCTCCCGCAACGGACCCGCTTCCCGGGCTACCTTGCAGGAAGTTTGTTGGCCCACCTAACAAAGGAGCGGTGTGGAGGACGGTTTAGTAGAAAACCTTGCTTCTTCACTTGTGCCCTTTAGTTCAGGTTGTGCACTGCTTTATTTAGTTGGAATAAAATCAGCATTGAATTTGGTTGCTGCTGTTTTCTGTTGAAAATACCGTTTCTGTTGTAGGGGAGGGTGAGTGTCACCTCCGTGTAAATTAAGGTTTTTCTTCTTTTCTTTTCTTTTCTTTTCTTTTCTTTTCTTTTCTTTTCTTTTTTCTTTTCTTTTCTTTTCTTTTCTTTTCTTTTCTTTTCTTTTCTTTTCTTTTCTTTTCTTTCTTTCTTTCTTT